AAAAACAGAATTGGGTGTATAGTATTTGTTAATATTCAAAGACAACTATTTTCCTTATTCGTACTCCTTAACCCTCAATTCTTTTTAACACGAACTAATTTTGTTTCACTAGTGTCCTGAAAGTTCTTTTGTTGTCTTTTATTATACAATTATTTTGAGTAAAGTATTAAATACTTATTTTTAATGATAACTGGTGGCACAGGTCTTTCAATAAATGCAATATATTGCGATATATAGCGAAAATTGCAATGTATTTTGGTTCATAAACATTTGTTTGCTATAAACAATAGTGTAGTTAAATCATATGAACTATTTGAATTTTATAGAAAATATTGTTTTTCAGTATTGTTTTTCAGTTTATGAAAATCTCTTATGTTTTAAATTTATTCTAGATAACAAAGTAAAAAATTTTATAATATTAATCAATTGGCAGTGTTATATATACAGTATATCGCATTTGACTTTGTGAAAATATTCTGAAAATTAAAATGACTGCATATTGAAATTTTTATATTGAATTTATTATAATGGCATCATTATTATACCAAAAACATAAAAATATTTAATTCTGTATAGAATTGAAACAGTACCATTTTATCTCTATTTACAAAATTACAAATTATTTGTTTTACAATATTTTAAGCAAATAAATTTTTATTCATTCAAATTTTTTTTAATATAATTATAACTATATAAAATTGTATAAAAATGCAAATACCTTATAATCAAAGTACGTAAGTAATTAGATTTTATTGGTTTATTTTTTGTGTATTTTTTTTTCAAATTATAAATATTTTTATAAACTTACATATTTATATTTTATTTTATTTAAATTATTAATAAGTATTTTATATAATATACTTTTTAAGTATTTAAGTTTATAAGGCATTTTAAAATCATTTCTCATAATTTGATTTAAAATATATAATAATTTTCATAATATTTATTTAATATTTTCATACTTTATTATAAGAACTTTAGTTTTTTTTTGTTTTTCATTTGTTTATGTATATATTTTTAAATGTAAATATGTAACATGTTTTATAAAATAATTCTACAGAATTTTCTACTTTTATTTGAAAATAAATTTTTGTTGTTTTTTACATATTTTGAACTTATATAGTGGTTTTAAATTGATTTTTTACCTTTTTGTTTTTTTGGTACAAAAATAGTTAATGGAAGAACATTTTATTTTTATTAAATTGAATATTTCTATACTCTTTTGAATATTTTATTTTTTTTTTCTTATATATAAATAAATTTTAAGGATATTTTTTTTTTTGTTAATGTGAATTCAATAATATTCTATTTTTTATAATTATTTTTGTTTTTTGTTTATCTTATTTATCAAATAATTAATTAATAATTCATGCTATTCTTAACTTTCTTGATTTACAATATTTCATATTATAGTATTTATTTTACAAACAATTTACTAATAATTTCTACTAACAATCAAAGCTGTTTTGTTGTGAATTTGTTCAATATTTCAGTATTATAATTAGTTTTTAAATATTATGCTCATATACACATATACTGCATTCTTTATAATGAAATGATGAGAAAACAGAATGATTTTGGTATAACACAGTGTTGTACAACTAGTTTTTTATAGCATCATACAAAATTAAAGTTGTTTTTATTAAATTAATTTTTATGTTTGAAAAGTCTTTAAAATTGTGTAATGTTTCTTTAAGAAATGTTATATTATTTAATTGTTGTATTAAATTATGCTTAAAATTTAGCTTTTTATGAAGTTTCATTAAATACGTGAGACAACAGAAATTCTCTTTAAATGTGTTATTAAAATTAAAAATTCCTTATAATTGAGATTTATGGCATCGCCAATCAAATGATCAAAGATCAAATTTCTTAATTTAAGGGATTTTCTTTTGTCTAGTTTATCAATATTAACAATTTTAATTTTAGTATTTTAACTTTTCTCTCAAAATACTAAAATTTTTGTTTACTTCATTCTTCTGTTCAAAATAAAACGAAAAAAATAAGGTCAACTCTGAGTAAAAGTAGATACATATTAATATTTTAATATCAGTATTATATAAATATTGTGTAATATTTATATTTAAGCGAAATTTTAAATTGATAAGCTAATCTAAGAAATTTATCTCAAATATCAACAACATGATCAAAATTATTAAATTTATTTAATATCAATATTAAATAGTCGCAACTAAAATGAAAAGAGAAATCGTAAACGAGATTTAGCATAATTTATACTATATGGTTACTTCTTATATTTGCATGTGTGCATATATGCGCTGTTTTAAGTATCAAATTAAACTTTTCGAAGTATGATATGCTATTTTTTTTTAAACAAATCGTTATTTTGATCAACTTCACTAATAACATTGTTTTTTGGAACCCTAAATTCGAAAATGTATGGTAAGTATTGCATCAGCGTTAAGAAAAAATTGTTGATGTTTTGAAATAACAAATTTCGTTAAGTATTGACTGTATGTTTCTTAAGTACATAATTTAGTATACTCTTTTATTTTGTATGTGTCATTAAATTGTATATAACCCTAAATCTTACTTTACCTTAATCTTCAATAATTATTACACATTTAATTGTATAGTTTTATGTTTACTCACTCTAAATATCCACTAATTTTAATGAAATGATAAAAAAATTTAAGTAAAATAGAAGCTATTTTAAGTTCACATACATATTATTTACTTTTATTTTTTAAAGCTTTCAAATTTAATTTGTTTTGTTTTTAAATTGCAGTTAAAATTAAAATAAATGAAGTTTACAACCCACATGAGAATAAAAATTTGATGTGTTAATGATTCAACGCAGCAATTCTTATTTGTATAACAAATGATTACTGTTTGAGTGCAATAAAACTCTCATTTTACTGTCTTTAATTATGCATTTTACTTTTTCATGCTTACTTTTACCTTCCTACAGAATTGCAGTAATGTAATGTTATTGCACATATCAGCTTTTTTATTGTTAAATTACTGCAATTTTGAAGTCAGGAGTTTATAAATCAAATAATTATCATTTAAATATTTAAATTTTTTTATTGTAAAATTGGACTCTAAATTATTTTATTTTAAATTATGACAAGCTATAAATTTGGAATAAAGGTATAATTTGGCAATTATATAATTGGTTAATCAGAGTTGGTAAAAGGAATTTGTCATATTATTGAAAGCGAAATTTCTAATTCAAAATTTAATTTGTCAAAGTTGCTATTAATTTAGTGTGTTGTTTGAGACAACACACTAAATTAAGCGTACCCATTTTATTTTTTAAATATTTTATTAATTAGTCGTATCCCTATAATACCCTATAATTTTATGCCTTATAGTCTTATGCCAATAGTTTTTAAATTAGAAATAAAATTGAATTGCAATAGACTTGCAATAAAAATTTATGTAGTTTAAAAGTTATTCTAAAACCGAAATATAAATAAAATAAAAGGTTTTCCCATAAACGGAGTATATCGCGATCTTATAGCGCTATATTTTCCTTTATACACAAATTTGATAACCTAATTTGTTCATAAACATGGTTAATTTTTCGCAAATTAGTGAAATTAGCATGAATAGCGTAGTTAAATCATATAAACTATTTTAATTTTATAGAATAGTTAAAAATATATTGCATATTCATCAAGTTATGTTTTTGGTGTATTGCGTTTATCAATTATTGTTTTTCAGTATTGCGTTTATGAAAACCTCTAAACTGAAATGCTAATCAGTTTATTTTTAAAATTTTATAATATTCAATTTGGCCAAAAACCTTTAGTCAACTTAGGCGTTTATCATTTAAAATTAATTTATTCTCATATGACTTGTAAACTTAACTTAAGGTGCTTATAATTGATCGTTTTATTTAATGCTTATATTTATACATACTTGTGTTATTTACTACTAACTTTCCTCAAATTTATTTAGACATTTTTTTGTTAAGTATTTTTTGGCTATTTTGTTTTTGTATGTTTTTTTTTTGTTACAATGTATGTAACAAACTTTAGAACAACAATTTTTGTATTAATATTTGCTATTTATTATAAAATTCATAAAATCTAATTAGATAAAATGTATTTTTTTCTTGTTTTTGTAATCAAAATTGTTTTAAAAATTTATTTTATTTATTGTCTTTTTAATTTATTGTCCTAAATATTTTACTTATTTACAATAATATATTATTTAATACAATTTTATTGTCGACGTATCACAATTAAATTTTTAATTATAATAAAGGTTATTCCTTCTTTTTAATATTTATATTTTGCTACATTTATTATACATGCTTATATATATATTTCAAAAAAAAAAAATTTATTAAGAATAAGAGGAATTTATACTATACTAATTTAAATCATGTAGTATGTATATTTGTAAATATTGGCGTTTAGTGAATCTATACATTGTGTTTTGTTTAATTAATTATTTTGTTTCAGTTTTATTTTACTTTGTATAAAATTCTATTTTATATTAAAATAAGTTTGGCAGCCCTTGTTTAGTTTATTTGTTCGTAGTTATCATAATAAATATTAGAATATTATAAATCCCTCGGCGTGTAATTAGTTTTTAATATTTATTTTAAAAAAAATTAAAATTAAAGCAATTAAAATCAAATTGTAAAAAGATATTTCACTAACTATCTGATATTAACATTTTGTTTTTGAGATATGTTGAGGATATGCTTGACAACTCGGTTGATAAAAATTTTTAATGAAGTTCCATGAATGTACTTTATTCTTTTGGAAATAATGTTTTAAATATGGAACAAACAGAATTAATTATTAATGGAATTAAGTCTTTTATTTTACAAAATATTTCTAAATATAAATGTAGGTAAGTGGCGTGTTTTTTAAATTTTTTGAACGGATACATTTTTATGAATGTATGTATGCTCTTTTATTTCAAATTTCATTCAAAATCAGAAACACCAGCATTAGTATTATTTTTAATATTTAAAGTTAAAAATTAATCAAATATTTTGACAACTAAAGTAAGTGAATGTACAATGTAGGTATTTTATGTAAAATTCAAAACGTAATACTATTTGATATACTATTGCCGATTCTAAATTAAATTTAAAAATTAAAAGAATTAACATACAAAAACTTTTATGGAATTTATTTGAAATTATTTAAAAAACAATATTCAAAGAATTATATGAATAAAACAATCTCAAACCAAACAATTTGGTATCTCCGATTAAATTAAATTAATTAATTAATCCGTATTTTTCGCATTAACATAATTTAGAAAATTTATGCTTTTAAACTGTAAACTAAATAATTTTCCCTAATCGTTTTAATAATAATGTAGTTGAAGTAGTTCATAATGTAATAATTATATGTAAATTGAATATCTTTATATATTAAAAAAAAAACAAAAAATGAAAAACTAAAATCAAAAATAACATGAATAAAAAAAAATATTTTTAAAATTTTTAAATAAAAGTTACTGCTACAGGTACTTAAACTTAAAATAATTCCATAATCTATACATTAATCATGATTCCTTTTGTTCTGTTAAATGTTTAGTTTTTGCTAATTCTTGTAATCTTTCTGATTCATGTGGACCAGTTGCCTTTACCATGTCAGAGAATATTCCATTTGGATTTTGTAATAAAGTGTATGGTGTATCAAACTCGGAAACTTTACCAAAATTCATTACTAATATTCTATCCGAATCCATAATTGTGTGTAATCTATGAGCGATTGTAAGTACAGTACATGACGAGAATTTGTTACGAATTGTTTCTTGAATTAAAGCATCAGTACTAAAAAGAAAGTATTGTATCAATTAATATTTACATAGAGCATTACATATATGTATTTACATTAATATTTTAAATACATATATTTATATATCAATATATTATATATATATATGTATTTTATTTACATAGAGCATAATACTTACTGTGGATCAACATTTGCTGTTGCTTCATCTAAAACTAATATTTTATTATTTCTAAGTATTGCACGTGCCAAGCAAACTAATTGTCTTTGTCCCACACTGTAATTGCTACCTCCAGCCATAACCGCTGATTGAAGACCCAAATTTCCGCTTGCAATGTCCTTTAATTCAACTGATTCAAGTGCACTCCATAGATCAGCATCACGATATTCCTCAAATGGATCTAAGTTTCTATATAAAAAAATTAAAATATTGTTAAAAAAAATTTTAAGTAAAGAAAGTATTGTAGAAGTGGTATGCAACAGCTATTTACCTTCTCAAAGTTCCTGAAAATAAAACTGGATCTTGTGGAATAATTGATATTTTTGATCTTAGTTTATTTAAAACTACTGAATCAGTTTTTATGTCATCAATAAAAATATCGCCTTCAATTTTAGCAAGACGAAATAAAGCTCCAATAACAGACGATTTTCCAGCACCAGTTCTACCAACAATTCCAATCTATTTGATAAAAAGAAAAATGAAAAAACATATAGTATAAATTTAAAGATATTTTATTTCATTTATTGACTAGGTACCTTTTCTTGTGGTTTTATAACAAAATTTAAATTATTAAGTACTGGATCAGCTCCGTCATAGTATCGATATCTGACATTTCTAAACTCAATTTTGCCATGTTCAGGCCAAGTTTTTCGTTGCTCAACTATTTTATCAGGTTGTTTTTCTGCTTCTAATTCACGATATTCTAATATACGTTCAACTGCCATCATCTGATTAGCTACTTCGGCACTTTGTCGAATACCCCATTGCAATAAAAATGCCAAGGACATTGATTGAGTGATTGCTAAGCCCACATCTGAACCCATAACATCTAAAATTATATTGGTTAGATTTAGAAATTACATAAAATTTATTTTATTAATTCTTAAAAGTATTTCTGAAAACGTCTTAAAGGTAAATAGAAATATAAATATTAATGCATAAATTAATGATTTGGATATATTCTATTATCAAAGTATAAGAGGCTTATGAAACTTGCAGGAATAATATTATATATTTTACCTGTATCAAAAAGTAGGAAATAAAATGTAACACATGTCATAAAAATTAAACAAATCAAATCCAACGATAAACCAAATGCCGTTGAAGTGCTTATAAACATATACCATGATCCTGAATGAAGATCTTGATGATTGTCAAATTCCTGTATTAGCTCAGTTTGTGCTCCGAAAGCTCGAATTGTTGAAAGGCCACTTAGTGTTGCTGCCAAATGCGTAAAAACTGGTGATCGAGCTAGAAAACAAACAATTCGACAAATAATTTTTTTGTATAATTTTAATCACACATTTTTGAAACTTACTAACTCCTTCAAGCCGTTTGATATTTTTAGATGTCTTTAAGTATATCTTCCGGACAAGCATGAATAATGCACCTAATAAAACTAAAGGTACAGCAAAAATCGGTCTAACGGTTAGAGTCACGATAATGGCGCCAAACATATTTAAAATTATTTGAGTTGCATCTAACATTGCCTTTGGTAACAGTTCATCAACTGCACCCATATCTTTTGAAAAACGATTTAAAATTCGACCTGATGGATTTGTATCAAAAAATCGCATTGGTGCCTGAAATTTTTTTTAAAATAAGAAAATTAGCATTTAACATAAACTTTTGTCTACAAAAGTTTTTTAGAGTTTAATGCTTACCATCACAATTCCTTTGAACATTGCGTCATGAAGTTTTTGAGAGGCACGTACTGCTAAGGTATAAAATGTTTCAGACCTTATGATACCAATTGTAAATATTGATAAAATAATAGCTCCATGAATATATATACAGGTGTCAGTATTTATCAAAGAATCTTTTCTAATCTCATTAAGATGTGATATTCTATCCATATGATCCTGCAATTGTTTTATACTAATTTTAGATACTTCGTCATTATTACCGACTTTACTGCCTTTAAGCATTGTCTGATTTTGATTTAAATAATCGCGCAACTCTTCTTGACTTGTCCAGAAAGATACCCAAAAATCGGCTAAACTTACTGCCGCTTGTGTTATAAGAAATAAGCATAGCACAAAACCGACGATTACAAAATGAGCACCTGCTCGTAAATAATTTCCAATTAAAGAACCTTTAACGGTTCCTTTCGAACTCTGTTCTAAATTTTGATTTTCGTCTTTGTCATCATCTCTTTCTTCTTCATTTTCCTCATCACTATTTGATTCAGTACTTCTAAGAGAGTGATGCGATGAACCTAAAGATCGACTTGATGATCTTCTCCTCGATTGTTGGCCTTCAGCGTTTGCATCAGTTTCGTTATCATTTTCAAGTAATTCTGCGAAATCTATTCCACTTTTAGATAATTTTTGAGGTGGTCCCTGAATTTGAATTTTGCCCTATAAAAGTTGTTTCAAATTAAAAATAAAATGTTAAGAGAAATAGAAAAATTAAATAACCCTACATTATTTAAGATCACAACCCAATCGGCTTCCTTCAAAAAATGTACTTGATGTGTGACTAATATTCTAGTTAAAGAACGTCTCCCTAAACGACCTCTTGGTCCAATGACTTCATCGAATAAATGTTTACCTACATGTGCATCCACAGCGCTAAGTGGATCATCTAGTAAATAAATGTCAGCTTCTCGGTAAACTGCACGAGCCAGGCTATATTTTAAGGAAAATTATTTAAATTCGTGGTACATGTTTAGAAAATTAAATGAAGACAACCAACATTTATCCATCTTTTTTGTACATACCTAATTCTTGCTTTTTGACCACCAGATAATGATGCACCCTTTTCACCTATAACGGTTCTGTCACCATCAGCAAATTGTTCAAAATCTTTAACTAACGCGCACGATTTGACAACTGCATCATAACGACTTTTTTCCATATCTTGACCAAACAATATGTTTTGCCTCACGGTAGCTGCAAAAACCCATGGCTCTTGTGTTGCGTAAGATACTTTTCCGTTAACTTCAAGTGCTCCTTTTAATAACGGTAATTCTTCCAAAATTATTTGTAATAAGGAAGATTTACCAGCTCCGACCGAACCAACAATTCCTATTAATTGACCACGTTTTATTTCTAAATTAATATTGTCTAAAGTTAAATTTTCCTGCTTCTTCTTCCCGTTAGATAATTTTCTTTTCCCAGATTTCTTTTCACTAGGATTTTCATATAGTTCCCAATGGGCTGAAGCATTTTTTAAAACTATAGCTGGCATCGAATCATATAAACTATTTCTATATGGTTTTGTTTGAATTGAATTCCGATTAATTTTATGGGCATTATTTATGTCACCATTTCCTGTTTTAAAATTAGTTAAGTTACTTGAATTTTCAGTTTTATGCATAGAAGGTGGCTTCTCTTCATATTCTAAAAATTTTTGTAAACGTTTAAATGCAACTAAAGCTTCAGCAATTTCTGCTACCCCACGAACAAACATTTGTGACATTGTCCAAGCGATCACATTAAAATATGATGATATAACAAAAATACGAGCAGCTGTAATTTCAGCATCGGTTAAAGCCATTGTCATCATTGTACAAAACATTGCAGCACGTGTCGTAAACATATTAAAAGTCATATATAAAGCACGAACATGAGAGTTTTTACGCACAATCTTCAACTCAAGTTTTCTTGCTAATGTAATAAGTTTAGAAAATGGAACTTCCCAAGCATACATTTTGATAACCTTTTTGAAAATATTGTAAGAAAAAAAATTTATTGAAATGGAATTTAAAATTGAGAAAACAGAAGCATTTCAACTTCAATATTGAGTAAAATGCCAAATTATTAATGATGTATTTATTTCTTCTATTTAAAATATACTACTTAATACCTGAATTCCTGATATTATTTCATCCATAAATCGAACGCGTTCATCTGTTCTCATCGCAGTTTGATAACGAAATTTTGATGATAATTTTCCAGCATATGCTGCAAAAATTCGCAGAATTTAAAATAATTTTTACTGTTTTTGCAAAAAAAAATAATGTTCAACTTACATTGAATTGGAACAACAAAAAATATTACAACAATTCCTACTATACCAGCCCAACGTATTTCATTCCACAGAAGAACACCAACAATTATTGATAGTAGTGGTGCTGACCACATCGAATTTATAAAAACAGCAAAAATGTCAAAACGACTGACATCATTCGATAAAAGATTTACTACTTTACCAGGTGCTGTATCACCTAACGCTGTTCTCGATAATTTTAATGATTTACGATAAATTAAACTGCATACTGCTACACGAAACTTCATACCCATATGAAACGCATTCATTGTAAAATGATTAAATGTTAATAAACTAACTGCTGTCGATAACACTAAACCTCCACCATAATAATACGCTTCGTTATTATTTTCTTTATCCTTTGGATCTAATCTATAAAGAAGAACAAAATAAAAGAAAATTCAAAATATAAAAAAATTAATCCTTTATTAGTTAGTTTTTATAAAGCAATAAAGCATTTTTCATTTTTACAAAAACTTTTTAGTTTTCTTTTCATCTTACCGAAAAAATAATAAAAGTTGTCCTAATAGAATGGGTTGTAGTAGTCTTATACATAATTCATTAAAAGCCGTCAATATAGCTAAAACACCAACTTCCCTCCAAAATGTTAAAAACATAGCCTTTATTAAGCTTGGTTTTTTTGTTTCTAATTGTTTTGCCCATTGTCTGGAATTAAAAGAGTAAAAAAAATTTTTAAAAATTTGTGTATAAATTTAAATTTATATATTTAAAAGAAATTGGAACTCTCCAAAAATGGAAATAAAAAATTGTTCGACTTAATCCAGTATTCACGCAAAGAGTGTGTTTCTTCCAAATTCATAAACATTTTCAGTTTTTATTAACGGGGAAATTATTGATAATTTTGATAAAGCATTATTCTATACTTAATGAACACCTGTTACAATTTTCTATTACCCTTAGCCTAATCATGATTCATAAAGATTTTATGAAAGTTACAAAAAAAGTTATTTTTTGCTTTTAATTTGATAACAATAATCAATTTTTGACTCTACTATTATTCTATATATTGTTCTTCTATTACTATTGATTCTACTATTATTCTATTTCTATATATTGCAATTGAATTATCTTTTTAAACTTGCTTACTCGTAGCAGGTTTTATTGATTAGTTTTTTCGTTGTAACGTTGTATTATAGATTCAAAAAGTGTTTTTGAAAAAATCCCATTGCTGACATGAACCTTAATTGGTACATCTTGTATTTTATTGGTGCAAGTTATTGTTGAAGATTAAGTATGTCTATGTTGCTTTTTACGTTTGTATTTAGTATATTATGTACATGCAGCAATTGTTTCTTTGGTTTTTAAGCATTTGTAAACCAAAATTGTTATGCATATTTATAGTTAATGTTAAATAATTAAACATGTAATTAAACACATCATTATTGGATGGACCACTTGTATGCTCAGCGACCACTAGGGGCTGCCCATAGGGTGGGGTTTTTTCTCCACTTTTGTGGTTTTTGGTTATGGACTAGCTACTTCTGAGATTGGAGCGATTAGCATTCGGATTCATTAGCTATGCTAACGACTATGGTCGTGATGATCCAGGTCGCTTTGGAGGATGATGGGACTGGTTCCCTTGGATTTGCTTGAAGTGGCTGGACGGGCTACAACTCCATTCTGGGGGAAGTTGGATTGGATACGGAGCTCCTGGAGGCATCGAACTTAGGTTCTATTCGCCTTTGGACGAAGCTTCCTCCGTTTTTCAGGCGGAGGTCTTCCCGGCGGCCCGCGGTATTTTTTCATCTTTATAGTTTCCGACAGCCAGGCTGCTCTGGCGGTACTGAAATCATCAAATTTTAAATCGAAGCTAGTCTAGGGTTGCTTCAATAATCTGAAAAGATTAAGTATGAATAATAAAGTCACTCCTTTGCGGGTCTCTTATAGTTATTCAGGGATACACGGAAATGACGAGGCCGATTATCTGGCGAAGTTGGAGGCAAATGCCTCCTTCATCGGGCCTGGTCCGAACGTGGGCCATTCTGTTAGGTGTCTTGACCAGGTCGTGGCTGCTTGAGTGGAAAGGCGCGCTTCGGAGTTTTGGCGCTCCCGTGCGGAGCTATTGCGGTCCAAAGATTTATTTGGTCGACGGATCGCGGGCATTCCTGATATTGTAAGGCAGAGCCGCTCTTCACTGAGGGTTCTATCGTGGTTTGTCACTGGGCATGGAGAAACTCATATTTACATAAAATTGGCAGATCAAATACGCTGCGATGTAGATTTTGCGACCGAACCGCGGAGGACTCCACTCTTGTCCTATTTGAGTGCGATGGCTTGGCCCGCTCTAGATACAGAATTTTCGGGGCCATGAGCTTGGATTCTTATGAATCGTTATGCATGGCGGACCTGTTAAAATTTATCGGAAACCTGACTCTTGAGTTCTAACGATCTGGTGCGGAATGCACAAAAGACTTATATGGTCGAGATGCTGATTAAATTTGCACACATCACATAACATCACATAATTAAACACATCCATACTCACATATATTAATGAAATCAACTACCGTAGAATCAATAGCTTACAGTGAAACCGATTAATAGCCATATTTCTAAATTAATTAAAAAAATAATTAAAAGCGCTTTCATACCATAGAAAGGATAAGAGTTTAAAAGTACTTTTATACAAAATAAATGCGCTTCTGGAAGTTTGTAGAATGCTTTTGGCAAATTTTATTATTTCTGAAAAATATTTTTGAAATTCCATAATGGTTTCCAAAATAAAAATTTCCATACAATCACATTTATTTTTAGAACAACGCAATTGAATCTAAAATTATTTTGTAATAATTAATTGCATTATTCCAAGACAACGAAATTCCTTTAAATATTAAAAGTACGACGTGTAAGTAAAATATATACATATGTACATAATAATTAATATAAGTATGTGTTTATTAATCTGGAATAACAAGTAGGACATGTTTAGCACAATATATTTTTAAACGCCTTACAACTACAATATTAAATTTGCGAAAATTGCGTCTTTTAGTTAAAAGTTTTATAGTTTATTAAAAAATTGATTTAAGTAGAAAGTATAATCAATAAAAGTTTCTATACATGTACATACATAGGTACATTCTTACAATATGCTACAAAATGAAAAGGAGTAGTCATCGTCCCTTATAATGTAGCTTTCCACCATAAATGCTTTATACCTTATATGTAGAAATGTAAGAATTATATGCATTTGTTCTAGTATTTAGTTTTTAAGGAAAATAGCTCTGTGTGTCAATTGTTTAATGAATAGCACAAATTTTCTTTTCTTATCGTGAAATGAATAAAAAAAATAAAAACTTTATTCAAGTTTTATAGTTCGAAAAATGAAAACTTTTTTTTTTTAATTTTTTTCTTTATTGTTCTCAAAATGTCGAACAATACATTTGAAAGAAAATGTCAATAATATGAACAATAAAAAAAAAGTAAAAAAAAAAATGAAAAGGAAAGTGTACAGAAACTGTAAATTGTAGCCTTTCAATATGAGGGAAAGAGTAGAAACAACTCTGCTCCGGCTTTTAACAAAGAGAAAAGCAAAACAAAAAAGTAACAATGAAATCTGTTATCCTTACAATTATAGGTAGGAAACAAAAATCACTAAACTTTGATTTGTTTTTAACAATGCTTTAAAAATTCAAAATAAAACAAAAAATCAGAAAAAAATTCTTTTGATCTATTTGCTTTCGTTTTCAATTTATATTTATGTGTTTCGTATGTAGGTATGTGTGTTATAGGGATTTAAATTCGAAGTCATATAAGTTGGTTTTATTTCCTACATTCAGTTGAATAAAGTAACGTAAAAAGGATATGTCTTTGATTTACTATGATAAAATAGCAATTATTCAACAGTAATAGAAAATAAAACTTTAGAATTAGTTTTCATAAGTTTTTATTTTTTTTTGTCGGTCGCGGTTGAAATTTCAAGGTACACGCAAATAAGTTAAATGCAGAAACAATAATATAAGTTAAATAATGGAAAATAGAATAAAATTTTGAGATTTTAAGTATAGAATTCAATACTGTGTTAGTAAATTTAATAACATAAACGCGTTTGTAACACAATACTTCCAAAAAACACGAAATACTTAGTTATGCAATTTTACTGATTTGAATTTCAGCTGTTTAGGGTTATTTCACGACGATATTCGTGATTTTATTAAATAATTTCTCTAAAACTAATTTCCGAAAATTTTTTCGTAATAGAAAACTACATTTTAATAAAAGAATAATAAAAAATTTCTTAGTAAAGCTAAAAAAACGTTCTTAAAATTCTATTTTTCTAACACTTTAATTTTCTGATAATACACCGTTATTTCAATATACCATAGCCTTTTGATATCGCAAAAATTATATAATTATTTGAAGTAATATTATTAAAAGAAAGATTATTATAGCCATTACAGCCATTATTTCTGCCAGCATCGTTTATTCATCAAATTGTGCACATGCTACAAATTCCACAATGACGCATTCTTTACAAGCTTTAGAAAGATTAGGATTTAATTCTCTACTTTTTTATTCAAAAGCACATAAAAATTTTTTACACACCTAGATTTTTTATATCAGATTTTCATATATAACATAACAAAATCATACCATTTTAATAAATTATATGGTATGCATTCAAAGAGCCCTTCAATTGAAATTTCTTTGAAACAACACACACCTTGAAAACATTTTTAATCATAAAATATTTATATTAACAAAATACAATACTAATAGGTTCCCTTGCATTCTAATAATCTATGAACCCAATCCTATGGTAATTAGGAATTTTTAATGATAATTGTCTAGTACGTGAGTATAAACCCTGATTGATTTTTTCACAAATTTTCACTTTATTATCATATCATAATTTTATACAAAATATTTTATAATTTTTTATTTTCTCTTATATTTTCGTTATTATTTCAATTAGTATTCTAAAATCGAATTTATTGGCTCTTATAAATTTCTTCCTTTATTAGTTCTTGTAAATGTGTACAATACACGGAACAGAAAAAAAAACACTAAGATATTTCGGCTCTATTATTATGCATAGCAAGCATTTTTGTCACATATAGAAGAACACTAGTCTGCATTGGGCATACTCATGTTCATGTTGATAAAAATGGACAATAAAAATGAAATAAATATTGACAATAATATCAATAGAGTCATTCATATGATAATACAGGCACGTTTACGTACATTATGGGATGTACAGAGTAAGCCTTTTTTAATGATACACTTTTTATTCAAACTAATTGAATATGAGCAAATAGGCTTTTTGAATAATCAATTAATAACTTAGAAGAAAAATGCATTCCTTTGCTTTTAATTTATTCTTGTTGTGTTTTTCAAAATATTCAAAGTAGAAAATACATAAAGTCTTACTAAAGATTGTGCACTACAAACTTAAATATTAAAGAATATAAACTTTAAACTACTTCTCTCCAAAGTTTTTAAACTGATTTGAGTATTTGTAAATTTAGGGAACTTCTAAAATCACTTAAGAAAAATTCATTGCAATAATTTAACTTTAGTCCAAGAACTACGTTTTAATAGAAAAATATTTCAATAGGAAAATATAAAAAATTTATAATTCTATACGATAATCATAAATTCATCATCAATGTTTATAATGAAGACAAACTAGTTCAATAATT